TAGTATTTAAATATAAACTTAAACATTATATTTGTAAAAGCCAAAATAAACTTTACCCATGAAAAGCCAGCAAATCTTCAATTAATCATGGGAGAATCCGAATTGGTCTAAGTGCTTTAAACCATCGACATTTCTCTTACAACCTCGTAGCCTTCAAACATTGTGCTTGTGGTTTCACACACGAGACACCGCTTCATTATTTTCTTGACTGTCCCCTCTATGTTGCCCAAAGAACAACTCTTTTCAGGGAATTAGGGAACATAGCCGTAACCAATAGACATAATCCTCTCAATCTTATAATTCATGGAAACAAAGATTCTTCATTCGTGCACTCTATTTAATCATGTCCAGACATTCATCAGAGACACTCTTGATCAGCGATTTTTATAACCATACAAAACTGTCTAACCTGACATCTCAACATTTTATATGTAGACCCCTAGGGGATATAATAGTGTAAACTGTAAACCCTAGGCTAAATAAAATAAAAAAAAGATATAGATTTACCCTAGTTGACTAGAGACTTTGCTTAAATTGTAAGATTGATAATATATCCGTTATTGAGGACGAGTTCCACTTTTTACTAGTATGCCCATCATATAACAATTTACGAGATGACTTAATTTTGTGTATAACGTAATTTACAAAAACAAGAACTTATTATTGATGATGAACTTTTGAAACGTTTATTACATGATTTAGATTAGTGCGCCATACTGGAAAATTCCTGAATGCTGATCTTATCAAAAGAGCAAACTTCGTTTAATAATCTTATCATCATAGTGTTTTCAAATATATTGTGCAATATGCCCCATAAGTCTTGAATAGGCTGAGTATTCTATACGAGGAACTTAAATAAATACATATACATACATACAAACACATACACGCAAGCACACATGCACGCACACACACACACGCACACGCACACGCACACGCACACGCACACGCACACGCACACGCACACGCACACGCACACGCACACGCACACGCACACGCACACGCACTCATACATACATTTAAACTTTTATTACATGATTTTAGATTAGTGCATACAATCACACATACATACATACGAAAATGATAATATTTGCTGATTCGGGACTTTTAAGCCTGTTTTGTAAGGGTTCACAACCTTTTTCAAAGTCAAAGAATTCAAAGTCAAATGAATCTAGTTGTTTGGACACAAATGGCCTCGGTCGTATACCTAATACTAGCTTGAAAATGATAAGACATACTTGAGTACACTTGTTTTTTAAAAAACATAATTTATCCATAAGAGCAATTTACTGTCTCGAGTATTACAAAAATGTAACAACGCCCTGCTCAAAACACTTAAAGGTGAACTCAAAGAGTTTGACATTTCTAAGTATGCTCAAATCAATCTTCAACTAAAACAAAAGCAATAAATTCAAGAAGCACGTAATATAACATAAGTGAAGAGATCTGGTATTTCATCATTCTCTTAACAATCCGTGAATACTTCAAACACATTCAAGATACAATTACACCCCCTCCATAAGTTTGGCAACCTTTTCTCCCCCATTGGACTACGTGTTAAAGCCTCCTTACCTTTGAATTGTTATTTACTTAACCTGCGGTAAAAATACTTATTCTATTGATTTTATTTTATTTCCAATACCTTCAAATTTTCTCAATTCTCCCTCGATTGTCATTCCCATGTAAACCAATAGGAAATGGTGGGTTTGAGGCAAAATAGAAATCCGGATATCTATTCAGTAAAAGATTCAGCAAAAATATGTTTATATAGAATATTGAATTGTCTAACTTTTTTGTACACTAAGTGTTTAGTTTGCTTGATGAATACTAATTTAAAAGTAACAGAGCATCAAAGTCATTTTTGAAAATCATTTTTCGCCTCTTGTGTTACTTCAATGGGAGAGGCTTTTTAAAAAACAATTTTGACTTTAAAGACCTATAACTTTGTTGAACCTGAAGAAACCTATCAATTTTTTTGTTGAATAAAGTTCAATTGCCTACTAAATTGTATTTTCTGCAAGGACTATTGTGGATGGATATTCTGTCACATGGCTTGTGGCAAACCTACCATTTCCCATTGGTTAACGTGGGGGTGTCGATTTTCAAAAATTCTTCAAATTTATCATCAATTTTCGACCTATTGTAATTAAGGAAAAAATGTGTAGGTATTGGGAATAAAATCAAATACGTTTCCCTAAAAAGTATAAGTATTTTCATCGCAGGTCAAGTAAATAAAAATTCAAAGATAAAGAGGCTTTAACACGTAGTTCAATGCGGGAGCAAAGGCTGCCAAACTTATGGAGGGGAGTGTACATACACAGTCAAATACCACATAAACATAAAATGTCAATAGCTTATTTGAACAGACTTTAAGATGTAATATAATGGCACGTATGTACGTATTTCTATAATTTGATCACATAAAAAATGGCATTGAAATGCATTAAATACCCCACCCGGGCTTTCAATAGCAGGGGCGAGTGTCCAAATTTGCTGTTTGTTTTCAATAATTGTCCGCTTGTCAGAAGCCAATTTTTGTCTAAGTTTTGGGGGAAATTAAAATCTTCTAGACTAAGACTAAGAGTGAATTATAATTTTTTATAAGAGTACATTAGGTAAAAAATGACATTCTTTATAAACACATCTTGATTCAAAAGATACATACTTTATACTGTACTTTTCAAGTTCAAAGCGGTAAGGATAAGAATCCCACGTTAAGTAATACTAAATTACTGGTATTTCCGTAAGGGTATAGTTATTTACGGTTACCGATTTTGGTTTTCAGTACCGTTGTGACCTCCAGAGCATTGTTTTTCAGTATATTGTTCTATGGTTATTAGGCCAAGCGTCCCGATAGCTGCAGGTGATGGTGTTTTCCATGGAAACTCGTGAGTACGCTTGGTGAAATCTCTCAGACTCTTTCAATTTCTGGCTTTTGAGATTTGATAATATTTCCCAAAACTCGAACCAATAGAATGCTAATGGTAGATCATCTCATTCCATATATTTTCAGAACAAAGGAGGATTCAAAGGATTCAAACCAACATGTGTTATACCTTCCACACAATGAGTTGAAGATTTGTTTTTCCTTAACACAAGATATGTGGACATCATCACTATAACGCTCTTTGTATTCAAAGTATTTCCGACATAAGTCATTTGATTGACGAAAGGTTTTGGTTCATGACCTTATCTAAATGTGTTTTGTAACATTTTGGGCACACTGTTTAATACTATTAAATAGTAACAAGTTTAACTAACTGAACTTTTGTTGCTAAAACCAGCATGATAAACGAGACGCCACTTCAGGCTAAAATCAAAAACAACATAAAGTAGCCTCTGCAAGCCATATATAGTGGTTGACAAAATGGTTGTATCATCAGCACGACCTTGACCTACTCCTTGTGTAAATATAACTCCCGAGATGTCGCTTTACCATGCTTAACATTCGCTTTAATGTTACTATAGCTATCGACGATCAAAGCTATAATTTCCGACACACAGTATATCGACCAGATAGAGCTTAACAAAAAGCTCCATCTCTATAACTTGTTTTCTTTAAAGATATGTTAAACAGATTAGTGGGTCAGTACTACATAATCATGAAATGAATAAGTCTGAAAATACAATTGGTCAGAATGTACTAAAACCTGCTTGAAACTGAAAAACATTGCATGTTCTATTCTACACAACTTGGAAGCTTTTGAAATTCGCAGTAACAATGAATAAGTGCCTGTATATAAGCATTGCATAGAAAACACTTCATGTAGTGTTTATCAGGTGTATTGAGTTGACCAAAATACTTCTTTGTTTACTACATACTGGACGACATACTGGCACCCTTACATATATGTTACTGTACATATTGTAGAAATAGGCCATAAGAGCTTTGCAAAATCAACATATTATACTATCAATGTTATAGACGACTTGCTCAACCTAACAGGCGAACTATTATAGACAAATTTGAAGATAAGACTGATATTGTCACATTGAATTATGATAATAGTCCATGGTATGACTTCCGAATATGAAGTACCCGTAGCACACTATAGCGCAGCAACATTTGAAGCAATATTTATGGAGGTGCATATGTCTGGATTCTTTAAAAATACCATTTGCTGAAAAAACTTCCGGCTTCGGGTCGAAAAATGTCTTTCATCACAAGGGGTAAAAAACGTAAACATTTTGATTCGAACTTTTATACATTTCATAAGACTCTGACCGTTATTCGAAGCATAAGGACAAAAAAAGATTATCGTGATGTAAAAATATACTTTAATTTTACTGTGGATGTTGGTGTTTAATTAGTGTAATTACGCAAGTGTGTTTTTCAGATTTTGTCTGATTTTTCAAATATGCCAAGCAGATTCAATAAAAATTGTGTGGAATATTTATGTAATTTATGATCGGGAATATTAGTTTACCAGATGTTTTCCATATAATCGCAAGGGGTCAAACAACAAATTATTGTTCAATGTTTTATAGAACATAATACAATAACAAATAGGTACGATTTATATCAAATTAGATGTTACAGAAGTATTGAAATGTTCATATATTCCAAGGGCATGTCCAATAATCAATTAGAAATAAATCATACCATTTCATGAAGAATGGTAGAATTAATTCCCCAGAGCATGTGCTATACAGTATCGCCATGCGAACTTGCTGTGAACCATAATCTCAATTTCCGTAGGACAAGGTCACCATTTTTCATGAAATGATATGATTTATTCCGTATTAATGTAAACACGACCACTAACACGGAACGGTCTAAATGGGAGAGTGTATACGTTATGTTTTCTTTCGTAGCATTTTCTTTTCAATTTCGTTCTTGAACACATCATTATTCACGTTGATTGCTTTTTGAAGATTCGCGGAATTCTTTGAAGAAAGATCGGTAGGCTTAGTTCTGATCAAATCAACATGTTTTATATCATGACTCACAAATATTATCTTATTCAGATAAATGAATAATAGAAAAACATGTTTTTTACCATTGTATGTAGAGGAACCTAGAAGTTCTACCACGTTATCGTGTCTTGGCAATTGTTTCATTAGCTCGAGTTCTCGTTTCAAGGCTCTGACGTCTTCACGCGATGCGTTATCTAAGTTGAAACATACATGATTCAAACAAATGGCAAATTTATTCCACTTCGAAAAACACAAATACAACTAGCTTAAATACGGAAGAGTAAGTATTTAAGGTACAACATTAAGATATCCATGTTTTAAATGCGAAAATGTACAAGACATGGAAAACGTTTATTGCATTTAATGTCTTTAGTTCTACGATGTTTTATCCGTGAATATTTGAAAACAGTGACAATTTTGGCTAATAGGCGGCCATTTTTTAAAGGCAGGTTTGGCTGTTCAATGGGATTTGTTAGACCTAAGCGATGCTGCTTTCTAGTTTTATTTTACCTTTAACTTTCTTTGCAGCAGCATTAAATGGAACACTGTCATCATCATTCACTTTGACCAGTATAACATCACCGAATTCTCCACTACCTAATGTTTTCTTGACGTCAATTGCTTCCATTGGGTATTCCCGGACCCGTAGGTTTGACTAAATCAGATTAATTAAAAGAAGATCATTATACAGTATTAAACTACATAATATAGACGGTGGTCCACTCTGTAGAAGTGCTATAGAAATGCATCATTCCTGTCATGGAAGGTCACACATCCCAACGTATTTCAAACAATCTGTATAATTATGCTGGACACTTTCTGGATAATTGGACTTCATGAAGGGGCGGCAGAGGGCCCTTGGGCCAATTGATATCCTTACCCCAAGAAATCCTTGGAAAAACAATACTAATACATACCAGATATTCATCGTTTTATAGTGGGTAGGGCATGCCATGGTTAGTCAGTGGTTCTCAAAGTGAAATATTTGCAAATCTGGATTTTGTGGCTGCTACTTTATCAAAAATTGTATTGATATGTATGTATTCACACTAAAGCACCAAAGGTTGATATAATGATCTTATAAATTAATGATATTTGTCTAATATAGTCACACACAACTACTTTTAAGGAAAAGTGGGCATGGCACTTTTGGTCCTTGTGAACGTGTTGCAGTATTAAATGAAAAATACATGTTACACTAACAACATTTGACATTTAATTAGCATCTACTAGCATTGTGTAACATTGTAATGTGTTAATTATCATTAGTAGATACTTCTAATATTTTATTGAGTGTTATCAAGACCCTTCCCTATCATAGCTCACCAATGATCAAATTGTTTTTTAGTCTAAGTCTTAAAGGTCCTTAGTCTTTTTAATTTGTCGAAGTCTTATTCATTGACTTGTTCCTAGAATATGAATGGTTCGATTGATCAATATCTATGAGTTAAAATTAATCAATACGTTGTTCAGGTTTCAATAGTTAGAACCATTTTATGCAATTGAAAAGTAATGAACCGTTCCATCCTTTAAGTATGATGCTTTTCGGACACCATATCTCAAAAGTGGGTCAAAATACTTTCTGACGGCAAAAATATAACACTGTAAACACACTCTTTCCTACCTGTATACAAAATTTCGAAGCAAATCATTAAAGTGTAATGTCAGAATCGCAAAAATAAGAAAAAAATATGAATTTGATCTAGATTTTGACCTAGGCATTTTGGTGTCCAAATTTTAAAGCTAGATAGCCTTCGAGGTCCCCTTCTTTTATAGGCTTTTAGAATGTTAAGCTGTACTCAGACTATATCTGGTACTTTACACTTCAAAAAATCTTTTTTCTCATTGACATAACATGGAGCACCAAATTTAGCAATTTTTGAGTTTTGGAAACGTCATAACTTCCGAACCGAAACTCGGATTGAAATTTAGTTTGCAGATTCAGATTCTTGAGAAAATTCGGCCCTTAATCCATAACACATACGTTAAATTTGGAGATTTCTTTGTTTTGACCTACTTTTTGGACACCATGTCTCAAAAGTGGATCAAAATACTTTCTGACGGCAAAATGCTTACACTATTAGCACACTCTTGGCTACCAGTATACAAAATGTTGAAGCAAATTATTAAAGTGTAGTATCTGAATCGTTAAAATTAGGAAAAACTATGAATTTGACCTAGATTTTGACCTAGGCATTTTGGTGTCCAAATTTTAAAGCTAGGTAGCTTTTGAGGTCCCCTTCTTTTATAGGCATTTATTATGTTAAGTTGTACTCAGTATATATCTTGTATTTTACACTTCGAAAAAGTTGTTTTCCCATTGACTTAACATGGGGCACCAAATTAAGCGATTTTTGAGATTTCAAAACGCTATAACTTCGGAAGTCGGATCGAAATCGTGTTCGCAAATTCGGATTCCTGAGATAATTCTACACTTATTTGATAACTCACACAAAGGACGAATGAGAAAACACGTAAACTAGTGAAAACACATGATTTGATCTAGTTCTTAGTTCTTGTTAATTTCCATTACAAATGTTGGTCCTTTCACCTTTGACCTAGATAAACATTTGAACTAATTTCCCAGAAACTAGGTCTCATTATCTAATTGACTAAATTAGTAGATTTAAGTAGGTCCCTCTAGTTGCTGAAGAGGTAGAAGAATACTGACAAAAACAATAGACTCCAGATTTACATCTGGAGTCTAATAAGCAAAGGTGGAATTGTAATCCAAAGGATAAAAAAAACATTAGAAGACAAGGTAGATATTACAAGCAAAGATTAAATACTAAAAAGATGGTGTGAGCTACACTACAAAGCAGCAAATGGTATTGCCATGAAGGAAGAAATAAAACAACAAATTAAATGGAATAATAGCTGCATTCTGAACACAAAAGAAAGTATAGACAACAATGAATGGGAATCTAAGGGAATAAGGCATATAAATCAGTTATATAAATAAAACAAATTATTAGAATTCCAAGAATTGGAAACCAAATATAATTTAGCTCACCAAACATTCTTAGACTATAACAAAATTCATCCTATGAACTAAATTGAACTACGTATACCATAATCATGGAGACAAAAAATGGTGGAAAGGGGAGAAATTCGTACGAAATGGAAGTCAGTCAGAGATCAATTGCAAAACATCTCAAATGAAATCACCTAGAGGATGATTAAACGACAGATGAAGATACAACCAATAAAAGCACAAGACACGTGGCTTAGGGAGCTAAATTTAATTGAGGATAACTATAAAGAATAGGATGAAATATACACCACTTATAAAATGATAACAAGTAATGCGAAACTTAGATACTTATAGTTCATATTATTACACAGAACAACATACTTCAATAAATGCTAATATAAACAAAATGAATATAGAGGGAAAAACACGTATGTATACAAAATGCACTGAGAACCATTTAGATAACATCGAGCATGGATTCCTAGTATGTACAGCTGCAAAGGACTTCTTGGGAATGTGCTATGCCGAAGCTGGTGAAAATATACCAGAAAATAAAGACATTATTTTCGGATACAGTGGAGAAGAACTAAACAAAATAAGCTAATGATTCATTTAAAACATTTCATATACTTGAGAGAATTAGAAGACAATGGACTAGACCAGTCAACAAGAAGAAGAAAAAAAACAATATGAAACAACATGAGACACTATGGAATATCTGTAGCAGACTCTTGCGTTAATATCATCATTTTATACAAATTGACAAAAATCAACAATCTTTCCTTCTCTCTCTCTCTCCTTCTACAGTAAACAACATTAATAACCTGTAAAATATGTGTAAATTAATACCTACAATTAAACTATGAATTTGTGACATGCTTCAGTATTCTTTTTATTAGGTGGTATTAAAGAACCCTCGAGGTTTTCTTAGGGTAGGGGTATAAATTGGCCCGAGGGCCGTCTGTCACCCTTACATGAAGTTCAACTACCCAGAACGTGTCCAGCATAAGCAAACAGATTGTTTGAAATATGTTGGAATGTGTGACCTTCAATGACAGGAAGGTGTTACAATTATTAGAGTGGACCATTGTCTAATAACAATAACAGGAGAAATAAAAAAACGTAAAAAATATTTATATACTAAGATTACATATTTTTCTGGGGTTTTATTTTCGATGGTGGTATTATGGACTTACTTTGTGGACAACTGCGTCAGGTCGAGCATTCCTGTCGTGCCTGGAGACACTTTCAACTGTGGAACGTTGACTTTCGGGGTGGACTGCACTCACATGACCAGATATGCTATGTAATGATAATAAAAGATGCATTAAATCAGTATGACTGTATGGGATAACCTGTTAACTACTCAGAAGAACCTTAGAGTTCACAATTCTCATCTTGGGCAACGATTAATCAATTTTAAAACACATCTTTAATTCCATACACACACCGAGTCATGGGTATTTGAATACGATTTCTAGATAACCATCCCAGGAATATAAACGTTTTCTCAAAGTCATTATCCTAATCTGATCCTGAATTTTCTGCTCACTCTGAATCATAGACTTTTAACTTATCTTAAAGTTAGATATTTTCTGAAATTTTTTTTAGGATTGAACCGAATATGACATAATCTGTGATCAAACGAAGTATTTTAAATCAAAAACTGATATATTCTGGTCTGGTCTCATATGGAGAATTTTTATGATACACTCTTACTGAGTTAAATCTAAGCTGGCACATTTTATGATCTTTATTTCAATAATGTTCAAAGTATTATAGGAATATCCTATGGTTTTGAAAAAATATCACTTATATCCATGAGTGGATATTGATATCTTCGCGAGTGAGCACAGCGAATGAGTGAAGATACTGATATCCCTGAGTGTATATAAGTGATATTTTGATTGTCCGTTGGATTGTCCGTTTATCCCGTGGGAAATTATTATCCAGCGAACGTTGAATATTGAATGCACGCCTTCCAATGGAAGTTCCATTTCGTCTGACATTTTGATTCCAATAATTCAACGAACGTCATAAACGTGACGTAACAGGGTGGTTTGTATATAATGCGAACGCCATAATAACTAGATCCCAAAAAATATAAAATATAAAGAATCGTTTTGCTGAATTAATAAAAAAAAATGAAAAAAATGTCGAGTATCAACTTTCAAAAAGTGATATTCGATGGTTTCAAAAGTGATATTCGATGATTTGGGAATTGTTTGCTAAAATGTGATATCTTCATCCACGTATCAATTATATCTTCACGTGATATTCGATCTATATCCTTGTAACCATGGGATAATGTGCAATATAACCCTTGCCTAATTCAATCTTTCTCAAATATAATACCCAAGCATCAGCATCAACATTTAGTTAAAAACTGGACATATCTTAGTAAAATATTAATTAATTCTGTGTAATTTCAATATATTTGAGAATGCAGAATGACTAATAAAAATCAAGTTGTACAATGTACAATGGTATTTTAATCATCATTTAAAGCTGTTTAGCAATGTTATTTGGACCTATTTCTACCCAAATTGAGTTACTAAATCTATCACTGGGTAAATAAATATATATATGAAGGCCCAGACATGTTATAGGTCATAAAGAATCACAATTCAAGGATAAAATACCTGCTTCTTACCTGGCAAAAAGTAAGAGAAGGGGAAATCCCCAAAGCTGTAAATCTTTGATTTCTAATTCTAGTCATGTTACCACAATAACTAAGTAGCTTGCAGCAGTATATTTGCTTTTCTCATGGACTCTAGATCCTCCTTTTCCTACTATTGGATTTGGGCAACATGGCTATGTCCCTTAATTCCATAATATGAATATTAATTTGATAAATCTAAAGAACAATTTGAACTGAGAGGGAATTCCTCATTTTGTGTGATGTCATCAAAAGTTGTGTAATGGAGCACAAGGAATTTCTGTGGTTAATTATTTGAAAATAAATTCTCAACTTAAATTGAGAATTCTCCGTTTATCCACAGAGTTAGGGGACATAGCCTGCCTTCCCAGAAAGGTGAGATATTTATCTTGGACAGAAAGATTAGGAATATTGTCAAAAATCACTAAAAACCATGCTAGGCCGCTTTAAGATTGCCAGAGAGGGATATCTAGATCATATTATGATCTGCGTTTTTTTTTCGTTCCATGATGTGATTAAATATTAAACAGTTATAAACCTTTATTTGAATTCAAATATACAACATTTACCAGAAAAGAAAAAAATGTTTCTCGATGAGATACATTGAAACAATCTATTTAGCATGTAGCGGCATAAAATAAGGTGCCGCCTCGCTAAGGGAACCGTTAGTCAAGCAAGAACGAGGTGGCTTAATTAGGTCAAATAAGCCCAAGGATTCTGCACTTCCTGAAAAAATTATAATTACTTGACAGAAATATGTATTAATTTGTTAAAGTGTATAGGCATTGATATTTATCCATAAAAAGAAAAGATATGTGTGTTGAAATGATTGCGCTAGCACAAACCAGTCTATTGTTTCAGCACAATGCCAAAAATACAATAATAGCCCAAATGAGTTGTTTAATATTCTTTGTTAATTCCCGTAGTATGCTATGAGGTTGCTTTAATACCCATAATTATTTTATAATAACACACCTTTGTATTCTTGGTGGTGCTTTAATTCACCGTGTAATAGCCATGCTTCTATTATTTCCTTGATAGTCTTAGGGCTAATTTCTAATGCCTTGGTTAGACTTCAATAGTCCAAGTTCGTTCTTCAGTAGCCCTTTGTGAATCCTATTATGCTCGATGATGCTCGATAACCTTGCATATAAACCCAGGTTGTGCTTTGATACTCGAAATTGTTTCTTTAATAGCCCTTTGTTATTCCTTGGTATGCTTCAGGGTTCTTTAATAATCAATATCGGTAGTCTTTGCTTATTCCCCAGTATGGCCTGGATGTATTTTCATACCCTTGTTCTCGATAGCCCTAAACTTAATGCCTGGGCCACATTTGCCCCGATTTATCGGCCGGCGCCGGGCCGATTGAGTATTTTGTTCAAAAATGAATTCAATTCTGAGCAAAATACTCAATCGAACGGGCGCTAGTAGGTTTCCTTAGCATGACTGATGGTGCTTTATTATGCCCATTGGGTCTTTAACAATCATTGATGATACCTTAGAATGCCCTGGTTGCACGTTTGTACCCTAAATTGGTTAAATAGGCCCTCAATTTGATTGTTTAGCGTACTTGATGGTGCTTCAATTATCCCCATTGTTTCCTTGATAGCCTTTATTATAAACTCTTGTGCCAATGTTATGCTAATGTTATGCTTTGATGCCCCAAAATAGCCATATTAGTACTTTTATATTCCTTTGTAATTTCCAAATGTACCCCTGTTGTGCTTTTTGTAGCCTTGATTGCTTCCAGTATACCCAGAAAGAGCTTTGCAAAATCAACATCTTATACAATCAACGTAAAAGACGGCTTGCTTTTAAAATTAGTAAACCATTACCAAAACTATGGTAACCCTGTAGTAGTGAGAGGCACATTAAAAATGAATATCACCCCCATTCAATCTATTTTTACAAGTTTTTATAATTATTTCACATTTTTCTATATTTTGCGTAACCAGGATGGTGAATTTTCTTCATTTTTCTTCAAACATTTCGCCTTACCAATATTTATTATATCTGTCAATTTCAAGAAAATCGCACCGCTACTTTTGAAAATAATTCAAATTGTGTCGTTTTTCCCATTGAGCTCCATTATAAAAATGGAATTTTCAAACTTAATATTTTAGAATTCTACGTGGTGAAAAATTGCATATTGAGTAGTTAGTTAATGTTATGGTGTTAAAAATTCAAAAAAGTTTTTTTTCACCCTCTAAAGGTTTTAGGGGTCCGTTTGGACCCCAATATACATTTTGCAATTACTTTGCAACCAGAGAAGCTTTTTTCATTCTGACTTCAGTTGTACATAGGTTAATCTATATTACATTTCAGAATATGTATGCATTATTTATCATGAAAGCGTGGAAATATGTGTAAACCTAATCATAAGGAGTCAGGTGTTCTAGCATTTTGTAACACTTTGTAGCATTTATATATAACACTTTACTAATTGAATATGTTTCAGTGATAGTGATGTTCTTTGGCCTGAGGTAGCACAAAAAGTCATGATGCGATTTATATCTGGTTTGTTTTATCTGAAAGGAATTATATTAATTGAGGATAAGTTGGAATTTCATGTTGATAGAATGATGATTTCTGATATAATTATTGCAAAGAATGAGCTCTGGGGTCCAAACGGACCCCAAAAACCATTTAAGGGTTAAGTTGTTGGTGATTCCTTGTATACCTTGTGGTGTTCCAGTGCTCAAAACTATTCCTAGTAATAGTTTCCTGCAATGGTTCCAAGTAGGCCATTATGGTGTTCTTCTTAGCCCCTAGAGCACCACTTGGCATACAATCAGGGGCTATTCAGGTACCACTTTGTGGTATAATACCGGTACCACAACACTGGTACATAAGGATATAACTATAAGGCTAACAAGGAACCATTTCAGATTATTAAAGCACCACAAACTGTATTAAGGAATCAAAGAAACCGATTTGGGGTATCAAAGCTCAACCAGGACATAACCAGGTTATCACTATTTGGGGTATTAAAGTACAACCGGTGTATACAAGGTTATCAATATGGCAATACATGAACCAAAAGGGGCTATCAAAGCACCTCGATGGCATACTAAGGAATCAGTAAAGACAATTTAAAAAAACACTTTGGACTATTGTGTGTATCTTTTCGTTGTGCTGACAAAATAGACTGGATTGTGCTGGCATAATCACTGCATAATGTGTACTGAGACATATTAATGCCTGTAGACTTCAACTAATATATGTGTCATTTCTTGTCTTTCAGACCAATTGAAGTAGCATATGAAGAAAATACTTCATGTATGTAATGAAGTGCATGAACAATTAGTTGTGCTATACTATTAAATTGTTCAATCACTACCATTCTATTGAAACGTGTATGTGCTAAAATATTAAACGCAGTTTTCTTGGTACTGATAGCATGGATTTAAGTCAAACCCACACATATAACTAAAAATGACCTATAAATGAAGTGTGCAAAATATTTTAGTCGTAGCTCTGCTTGTTACAAAAGATAAGTTGTAAAGTTGTAATATTGAGACGCTCGTCGGCAGTCATCTTGAATTTTGTAAAATCAATTGTTATTTTGAATTTTCCCGAAAGTATAGAATGGCTGACACTAGCCTTCTCCCTATAGGTACCAATCTGGGTGCCTTCAATATAT